GGGTCTCCGGACAGTCCAAGGGCCAGGGGACTTTTGTCATTCCGTTTGTTACTTCAGTGGTTTACAGAAGTCAAGATAAACATTTGTTTACACATTGTCTGGGTAGTGATAGAAGTCACAGGTCTTAGTTACTTATTACAAGTCACAGGAGCCAGGATGGAGTTAGCTTGGGCTGCTTATTTTGGTTATTACTGGTAAGCAAAGGCTAGCAATTCTGGCAGTTACGGATAAGAAAAGGTAAGCAGTTTTACATAGTTTGCAGAACAAACTAGCAGTTCTATTTACAGAAGCCAAGGCCAGCAGTTATTGTGAGGAGAATGGGGCAGCCATTGCAACTTATTTTAAAAACAGTTTTGCATTTTATAAAATGGCGTTGCTCAGGTTCTGGCTCTAGGCTAGCACACTACTGCTCACCGGTGAAGGATGCTGTGGATTTAAAATCAGTTACTATGGATTTCCGCCACCTTCCCCCCCGCTCCGTTCTGTTATACATCCCTCTGAGAACACAGTCATCTTGCTCCTTTTAGGATAAAGAAACGGGCAGAAGACAACTCCTCCCATCCCTCTTTAAAAAGGCTCTGCTAGTCTGTCTTTTCTGTCACAGAACAACCAAACTTTGCAGTGAGCATACATTGCTTATGTGATTAGAAAATTAAGAATAAGATGGTCCTGACACCTTCATTAAGTCATTTCTACTGTCTTCTCCAAACACCTCATGGCATCGAGTTTCAGAACTCGGCTCTCATTGAGCAGTGTGTGGAGGTGCGAACTTTGCCTGACCTCAGCGTCACTGAACGCTGGTTTTTTCTACAGCATGTGGGTAATGTGCCTGTCCCCAACCTGTGATGTTTGAAAGATCTGATTTACGAAAGGACTTAGCCTGCTGCCAGACAAGCAGTGCGCCCAAGATGAATGTTTATTGTCATTGGATCTGTCGGGGAAGGAGGTGAGACACCCATGGGTGGTGAGGCGGGGCGGGGAGAACTCGGGCTGTGAACAGCAGTGCTCAAGCTGTGACAGAGCAAGCTGGGAATCTGCCCGGCCGGGTTTCATTCAGTCTTCCACATCTCACATGGGTACTGTGATGTTATACCTGTGATTGTTTTTTAAGAAACAAAACTATTTTATCATTCTGCTTTAAAGATGGCCGAGAGAAAAGATGCCATTCTAGAACGTTTAAATTCAAGCTGAGGAACTTACTAGCCACGTGACTAAGCAAGTTATGGTTCCATCTTTCTAGGCTTCAGTTCCTTCTCTGTAAGACAGGCCTCAGCATAATGTGAGCGTGAATCTGAGGAACCCAGTGTTGCCGGAGAAAGGTCTGATCCAGACCCCAAGACAGGGTTCTTGGATCTTGGGTAGGGAGGAAAGTGGGGCAGTCACAGAGTGCAGTGAGAGGGAGCTTCTCCGATACAGAGCGGGGCGCCCGCGGAAAGGAACTCGCTGTCTTTGTTGCAAAGACATCTTGTATCTATGTAAAAGCTGAGCCACATGTAAGTGCAGGTGGCCTGACAGTGTGACAAAATCTAGCACTTGGTGGATGTAAAGAAAGTTATCCTTGGCATTTCAGTGAGTACCTACATCCAAGCATGACTATAACAATCTTATTTTTGGGGTTCTTTTTTTTTTGAGATGGCGGCTGGAGCACAGTAACATGAAAGCTCACTGCAACCTCCACCTCCTGAGTTCAAGCGATTCTCCTGCCTCAGCCTCCCAAGTAGCTGGGAGTACAGGCTAATGTAACTGCCAAACGGGTTCACATTACCTTCTGCCTAGACAGAACTGATTTATCAAAACAGGTGAATTGCATAAGAGAAAGAATAATTCACACAGAGCTGGCTTTGCAGGAGACCAGACTTTTATTATTAATCAAATCAATGTCCTCAAGAATTCGGAGTTCAGAGCTTTGTTGGTTTTTTTTTTTTTTTTTTGAGATGGAGTCTTGCTCTGCCACCCAGGCTGGAGTGCAATGGTGCAGCCTCAGCTCACTGCAACCACTGCCTGCTCGGTTCAAGTGATTCTCCTGCCTCAGCCTCCCAAGTAGCTGGGATTACAGGTGCCCACCATCACGCCTGGCTAGTTTTTGTATTTTTAGTAGAGAAGGGCTTTCACCTCGGCCAGGCTGGTCTTGAACTCCTAACCACCTGATCTGTCCCCCTTGGCCTCCCAAAGTGCTGGGATTACAGGCATGAGCCACCACACCCAGCTCTGTTGTTTCTGAGATGGAGTCTTGCTCTGTCACCCAGGCTGGAGTGCAATGGCACAGTCTTAGATCACTGCAACCTCCGCCTCCTGGGTTCAAGCAATTCTTCTGCCTCAGCCTCCTGAGTAGCTGGTATTACAGGCACGCGCCACCATGCCTGGCTAATTTTTGTATTTTAGTAGAGAAGGGGTTTTGCCATGTTGGCCAGACTGGTTTCAAACTCCTGACCTGAAGCAATCTGCCTGCCTCAGCCTCCCAGAGTGCTGGGATTACAGGTGTGAGCTACCCGTGGCCAGCCTCAGAGTTCAGAGTTTCTAAGGATAATTTGGTAGGTAGGGGATCAGTAAGCTGGGAGTGCTGATGATCAGAGAAGAAATCATATGGATCAAAGCTGTCCTCTTGGCCAGAGTCAGTTCCTGGGTGGGGCCACAAGATCAGATAAGCCAGTTTATCCAACTGGAGCATCCCAGCTGAACCAGGAAGTACAGATCTGCAAAATATCTCAAAAACTGATCTTCCGTTTTACCATAGTGACGTTAACCCCAGGAGCAATTTAGGGAGGGTCAGAATCTTGTAACCTCCAACTGCATGAATCCTAAACCATAATTTCTAATGTCCTAATTTGTTAGTCCTACGAAGGCAGTCTAGTCCCCAGGCAAGAAAGTGATTTGTTTCCAGAAACTATAAGCTAAGTTTCTCCCAAAGTTAGTTAGGCCTACACCCAGGAATGAACAAGGACGCTTGGACATTAGAAGCAGGATGGAGTTGGTTAGGTCAGGTCTCTCACTGTCTCAGTTATAATGGTGTTTTCACTCGTTTTAAGACGGAGTTTATTTTTTTGAGACAGAATTTCACTCTCACCATGGAGGCTTGCATGCAGTGGTGTGATTTCAGCCCACTGCAACCCCCGACTCCTGGGTCAAGTGATTTTCCTGCCTCAGCCTTCTGAATAGCTGGGACTACAGGTGCCACGACCCAGCTCATTTCTTTTTGTATTTTTACTAGAAACGAGGTTTCACCATGTTGGCCAGGCTGGTCTCGAACTTCTGACCTCAGGTGATCCACCCGCCTCGGCTTCCCAAAATGCTGGTATTACAGGTGTGAGCCAGGGCGCCGGCCAAGATGGAGTTGATTTTAAAACGGTGTCCCCCTGGCTCTCCTATGCTCCTGTTCCCCTAACACCACGAAGGCTGCTGGCTGTTTTCTGGCCCCCAGGGAGGCCTCCACACACATTTACCCATGTTCTTAGACAATCCTAGGGACTCGGGGTTTCAACAAACCTAAATGAACCAGCAGAAAAATAAACTTGAACTTGAATGTCACCGTTTTCCCACACGTACTGTAGAGCTATAATAATTTGGAAAGGTTTATTTCAAGAAGCGTTGGTAATTTAAACGTCTTATTTAATCCCCAAAACAGTCGTGAGGGGGAGACAAGGTGGTTATCTTCATAGCACAGGAAAGGAAAAAAGCCAGGGTCCCAGGCCGACCATACCCTCAGCTCCCTCAGCCCCAGGCCGCCCCGCCAGCCGGCGGACACCCCTAGTACAGATGCTCCGTATCGATCGCCTGCTATCAGTTTTTCAGCAAACGTGCATTGAGCACCAATTTAGTGGCAGGTTCTCCCCTGGGTGTGGGTTCTAAAGAGGGAACCAAACACGTTAGAGAGAAGAGGAGACATAAATAACAACCTCAGCGAACGGCTGCAACTCCCACAGACACTCAGCGCCGGGCGCAGCCGGGAAGGGGGTGCGCGCCGTCAGGACCTGAAGACCGGGGCTGGGAGGAGACGCCCGGCCTGGCGGCCCCAGCGCGCACCTCCCGGGCTCTGGGCGGCTCCGGCTCTGGCTCCCTGCACACCCGGAGGGCGACTTAGCCGCAGCCGGGCGGGAGCCGCTCCGGGGAACGGCGGGGCAGCGGCAGCTTTCGGGTCTCCTCCGCCCCCTCGGGTGCAGCGCGACTCCCCAGCGCCCGCCCGCCCGCAGTGGTTCCGGCCGGCCCCGCCCCTCGCGCCCGCCCTGGTGCAGCCTGCCGTGGCCCCGCCCCTCGCGCCCGCCCTGGTGCAGCCTGCCG